AGAAGGAAGACATAAGCCATCTCCCTGACTTAATGGTGATAGAAATATTCATATTGCTGGTATGAACAGAGGGAGATGAGGAAACTGCTCTGAAATTCTCTCAGCTCTTCATTACTGGCTCCATGGTGTATCATAACACTGGACTGAACCAGCATGCAGGAATTTGAAAAACGCAGTTACATCAGATGTGGACACAAATTTGAAGTATTAGTAACATGTCGTGCATGAGTTGGTTTCAAGACCTCAGTAACACAACCACCTAGCCATAGTCTTTGAGTAAACCAGAACTTTTCAAAACCAACAGAATAGGAAGAGATTACACTCAAAGCACGAGACTGAGCTGGCTGGAGGTGGTTTTTGATCTTTTAATACTGAAACATTTAAGAGGAAAGACAGATTGTGAAGAGTTTCAAGAATGAAGTTGGTTTTGTGCGAAAAAATGCTGGCATATGCTAGGCAATACATATTTCTTTGTGCAGTCATAGCTAAAGTGATGGATGAAGAAAATTTATCATTGTTTCAAAGGGGATTTCTGAAACAGACCAAATGGCAAGTTCAAAGTATAGATGTTCGTGCAATTCATTTCAAAGTATTAAGACATGGAACAAGTATTTTTGATTCACAATGGGTAAAAAAATCCTTATGTCAGTAATATTGCGCAGAGAGTTTGCAAGTCATATGCATTGCTTGGATCTAGCTAGATACATGTTTAGAAAAAGACAAGTTCCAGATGAAGAGCTTGAGCAACTCACAAGATAAGAAAGCTTTCAAAAGACATCAAGGCTATATATACAGAGAATAGAACAGTCAGAGGAAGATTAAAGGTATTGTTTTAATATACTGAGCTTGACATCTCAATGTCTGGCTGGCAACTTTCAGAGAGATATCAGAGATCTTCCTTTGGATAGCAGAAGCTTTGGATGATAAGCACGAACTAGTTAAATTTATATCTGGGAAAGAAATAACCTAGGAAGAAAGAAAGATGCAAACTTCAATGTGCCACATAGAAAACTGGAGTTGGGGAGATGGAGGATGAAGGAGATCTCACAAACAGTACACTTGGGAAGAACCAAAGGAGAAGAAAAACTCCAGAAGACAACGAAGGTCAATTGTTTTGAAGGCAACTGACAGCAGAGAGAATGAAACTGGAATTTAGACTTTGACATTTTTTCAGAAGTGGTAGAAATGATAGATATAAGATAGGCTTCTTCACTTAATTCACAACATAGAGGTACCACTAGGACTTACAAATGGTCTCATTTTACTTAACTGTAAAACATGATAAAAGTAAAGCCCGATTCACTCTGTCACATAGTTTCCAGTCTAAGACCTATGAAGATTCCATGCACCAATCTGAAAGAGCTAAAATAAAATAAATCTTCCTCTAGTTTCTGAACAACAATAGAGAATAATCAAGTGGATTTGACTCTTGGGACTATACATATACACATATATATTACATATATACATATATTTACATGAACGTACTTTAACTTGTCTGCATAGGTTGTATTTTATGCTCAGATAATTTGGACATGTGTTTTGGATTTTACCATTGCAGCCATATGCTATTTATTAATATGAAAAAAAATAGTACAAAGACAGAGCCAGCTAAAACTGTTCTTCACTGGGCATCAAAGGCAAGGATAAAAATGGTAGATTAGGAAAAAACAGCTAAACTGCTTGATACATTTGCAAGTTCCCTTAGACTGCATTGTGAGCAATTTTTCAAGGCAGTGGATGAGATAGGAAGGAGAGAAGGAGCTGTGTAAATGACACAGCCAGCATGATGGACCATAGAAAAGATCTTTGTAGCAAGATCATTCTTCATTTCTGTACAGATACAACTTTCATCTTCTGCAGTGCACAGCAATTAGGCTGGTAATATTGACATGATGTACAAAGAAGAGAAGACCTGGGGAACACGGGAACAGGCTGCTAGATAGAATTCACCTTGTACAACTTTAAAGATTAAAAACACAATTATCTGTATTTCAAGGAGTCTCTCTAGCCTCTGTTTGGAGCCAACTGGGAGAAATAGGCACCTCCAGAATGGAGTCAACTGACCTGATATACATGCCTTAAAATGAGGTGGTTATTCCTCTTCTTCAACTATAAAGGAAACTGAGGCTGATTATTTCACAGGTAGATTCCTAGATTAGGACAAATGAGTCTGGCTTTTTCTTAATCTTTCCTTTCATGTCCTTAGATTTTTATAATTTTAGGGTGAATACTCAATGTGGTGGCAAAATTCCAGGGGACTTTGGGGAGACGTAGACAGCATAACATTTCAACAGTACTGCAGAAAATGTGTCAAATTAATCTCACCACATTATTATCGTGTATCATTTACTCGAGTATGATTGTATTCACCAGTCACACAGTGATACTGAAATTTCTTGCAGATAAAATCTCTTTCAGATATGGCAAGAACCCCACAGCTCTATACGGCAAGGGTGGTGCTGCCCGGTGCATGCAGGCAGCCTTGCTCTTCCCAGTATTAATCTGTTCACTTATTCGCAGAATCATAGAATAGTTTGGGTTGGAAGGGAGCTTTAAAAGTCATCTAGTCCCAACCACCCCTGCAATGAGCAGGGACACCTTCCACTAGATCAGGTTGCTCAAAGCCTCATCCAATTTGGCCTTGAACACTTCCAGGGATGGGGCATCTGCCACCTCCCTGGCCAACCTGTTCCAGTGTTTCACCACCCTCATTGTAAAAAGTTTCTTCCTTACCAGTGTTTCACCACCCTCATTGTAAAAAGTTCTAATCTGAATTCTCTAGTCTGAATCTATCCTCCTTTAGTTTAAAACCATCATCCCTTGTCCCATCACAACAGGCCCTATTAAAAAGTTTGTCCTCATCTTTCTGATAAGCCCCTTTTAGATATCGAAAGGCCACAATAAGGTCTCCCCGGAGTCTTCTCCAGGCTGAACAACAACTCTCTCAGCCTTTCCTCTAAAGAAAAGCAGGAAGTCAGCCTTCTGCATGGAAAAGATCCAGTGGCTGGCAATGAGGAGGCTCCGCACTCTCACGTTCTTCTGAAATAACATGGGTATATCTCCTGCAAACTGGGCTAAGAGAATGGGCACAGGAAATGTCTTCAAGTTCCTTTCTGACAGTGCTTTGTGCCTTTCATTGCAAATTCTCACTGATAACAGCAGATGCTTAAAGATCCTGTAAAATTAAAACCTACCCCATGTCTCTTCTGTTTTCAATTGAACTGGAATGAATTGTTCTAATTCTGGCATTGGAATCAAAACACCCTAAATTACAGTAATTTCTCTTTGTGAGTCATTATAAACTCTGAAATCACACATGACTCAGGCCTTCAGTAGGGGTCTAATCCTGCAGGCTTCTTCAGGCCAAGGTTCTCAGTGAAGCGAGCTGGGGCTCTGCTCTGTGAAGAACCCATCCCACACCCTGGTGCAGAGCACACTGCACGCTCTCTGGCCCCAGACGCAGCGAGGTCCTCCAGTTCTGTGATGGGGGAAATACACAGTGTCACCACCATGAGAAAACATCTTTCACTGCTGAGCCCTTGATGTTGATTGCTTGGACAGCTTCTGGTTGCTCATGAGAAATCTGCTAGGCTGCAATCTGCTGCAACAAGGTGGCAGGCCCAAGGGAGGGGGTAACACATGGAGCATCCCTCCTCTGGGAAATAGGATTTGGTCCCTGCTCGCCCTCCTCTGGCCACTCCAGGTTGAGCTCCAGCTGTCATTTCATCTCACTCTGCTCCCGTGGAATTTCATCATTTCTCACTCCCACTTGCGCACACCCTAGTGGGGAGGAGTGCAAGGAGAGGAGGTAGCAAATGCATCCCAGTTGTCCTCTATAGCATTTAATCCTTCCTGGGGCATTCTGGGGCTGCTGGGGGTAGTGTATTGAGGATTAAAAGGGAAAGTGTATTGAATTTATGTGGCAAGATTTTGGTAGAGGTTGGGCTGCAGTGGTGACTTCTGCAAGAAAAATCCAGGAGTTGACCCCATGTCGAACACAGCCAGTTCTAAGACAGACTTGCTGCTGCCCAAAGCTGAGTCCATCACTGATGCTGGTTGTGCCTCTGTGATAATGTATTTAAGGAAGTGTAAAAAAGGCTGTGCAGTAGCTGGGAGAGAGAGGAGTGAGAAAATTTGAGAGAAACAGCCCTGCAGACACCAAGGTCAGTGAAGATGGAGGAAGAGGCACTCCAGGTGCTGAAGCAGAGATTCCCCTGCAGCCTGTGGAGAAGACCATGATGACACATGTTGTTCCCCTGCAGCCCATGAAGAACTGCAGTGCATTAGATATCCACACTGCAGCCTATGGAGGACCCCCACTGGAGTAGGTGGTTATGCCCTGAAGGAAGCTGCAATCTGTGAAGAGGAGACCATGCACAAGGAAGTTTTCTGGCAGGAACCATGGCCCATGGGAGACACGCAATGGAGCAGTCCATTCCTGAAGGACTATACCCTGTGGAAGGGACTTGTGTTGGAGAAGTTCATGAAGAACTGCATCCCATGGGAGGGAGCCTACACTGGAGCAGGGGAAGAGTGGGAGGAGGAAGAAGTGGCAGAGATGACATGTGATGAACTGACTGCAACTCCCATTTCCTGTCCTCCTGTGCCACTTGAGGGGAGGAGGCAGAAGAGTTGGAAGCGAAGTTAAGCCCAGGAAGAAGGATGGGGTAGGGAACAAGTGTTTTCAGTTTTGTTTTTATTTCTCAGTATCCTATTCTTACAATTAATTGGCAATGGATCACATTAATATTCCCCAAGTTGAGTCTGTTTTGCCTGTAGCAGTAATTGTTGAGTGACATCCTTGTCCTTATTTCAACCCACGAGCTTTTCATCTTACTTTCTCCCTGTGGCTTGTTGAAGAGGTGGAGCGCGAGAGTGGCTTGGTGGGCATGTGGCAGTCAGCCAAAGTCAACTGATCACAGAGAGGAACAAAGAAAATCTTATCACTGTTATTTTATGAGGAACATATAATAGTAGCACCTTGAGAAAAAAATTACCTGTAAGGTAATCAAGGCATTCCAACAATTTCTTCTCCCTGGTAAAATCAAGTGCGAAAGTATCGAAAGTATCGTTGAGATTAATTTCAGGAATTAGAACCTGGGAGGATGCAGTTGCCATGGAAACCCTATAATGAAAAGAAAAAGTCTTTTAGCATGCAAGACAATAACTTTCACATCAAGATAAGAACTGATCATTATGATTGTTATCACTTCTCAAAAAGCTTGGCAAAAACTTTTACATGTATTTTATTTATATGCTTTAAGTTAGGAGCTTCTCCTGCTACTTTTATTTTTGAGAGTAAAGTCTTCACTAAAAATCTCTTATTATTTAGCTTTTGTCCAACATGTAGTGTCAGGTAAGTTTTTAACAATATGTTGGTTAAGCAACAA